TGCTTGGGTTGCAATTTGAATTCCTTCTAGACCGCCAACTCTGCTTGCATGCTGCATTAAACAAGACAGGCCTTCGCTTGCTAAGAGAAATAAATATGGCGAAATTGGGTCACCTTGTCGAATCCCTCTGGATGGCAAAAATTCCCTTGTTGGACCTCCATTGAAGAGAACCGAGTAAGAAACTGATTTTACTCCCCTCATAACTGCATCTACAAACTGGTTACTAATTCCCAACTTCTTCATGATTGCTTCGAGATAGTTCCATTCTAGACGGTCATAGGCTTTCTGCATATCCAACTTTACAGCACAATGGGAATTCTTCTTACTTCTATTATTTTTCATGTAATGCAAGCACCCATACGCCGTTATGACATTATCAGTAATGAGTCTACCTGGCACAAAGGCCGACTGCTCTTCGAAAATGATCTTAGGGAGAATCTGCTTCAGTCTATTAGCTAGCACTTTTGATGCGATCTTGAACATCACATTGCACAAGCTAATGGGTCGGAACTAAGACAAAAAAGTTGGGTTATTTACCTTAGGGATAATAACAATGAACGTCATGTTGATCTCCTCAAGGGAGTCTCCCCCCTTCAAAATCCGAATAACAATCTTGGTCACCTCTTCACCGCATAAATGCCAATATTTCTGAAAAAATGTGCTGGAAACCCATCTGGCCCCGGCGTCTTTGTCGGGAACATTTGGAATAATGCCTTTTTTATTTCAGCTTCACTATAAGGCTTATCCAGATCAGCATTCATATCATTAGTTACTTTACAAGGCACATGCGAAAGTACTTCCTCTATACCAATCACCCCCTCCGAGGCAAACAAATGCTCATAGAACTCCACTGTCATGTTTTCCATTTGTGTGTGATCGACACAGACTGAACCATCTTCTTTAACCAAACGTGTAATGCGATTTTTCTTGCGTCGATTCGAAGCTTTTTGCTGGAAAAAACGTGTATTTTTGTCACCTTCAGCGAGCCACTAGACACGTGCCCGCTGACGCCACATCACCCCTCACGGAAGCACAATTCGATGATGCGACCCTCGACTTTTAACTCTTCATAAGTTGGGCCAACACGTGCCGGAGCAGATCGCAATTCTGCAAGCTGCCTCCGGAGCTGTCGCAGCTCCTGTCGAACTGCTCCAAACTCTGAACTTCCCCATGGCATGACGGCACTTGTTGTTGCTCTAAGTTTTTCACAGATTTCTCCAACAGTTCCGGCCTTAGCTGTTCCCCATGCTTGCTCAAGCAACGGCAAGAATTCCCCATGTCGCTCCCACATTACTTCGTAACGATACAATTTTGGGTTCCTTGATCTTGTATCATTGACGGCAGATTGATTGGTTAAAAGAATAGAACAGTGATCCGACTTAGCAGCATGCAAGTGGTGTAACGTAGCTAGAGGGAACCTGCTACACCATTCTGCGGTGGCCAATGCACGATCAAGTCTAACACGGCAGAAATCACCCCCCTGTATACGTCTTTCAAATGTCCAGTCCAGCCCCTTGTGTCCAATATCACAGAGTTGACAAACATCTACAACTTCCCGAAATAAATTAACTTGAGCCATCTCTCGCAAGTTTGGTCCGAACTGCTCCTCTTGCCTCAAGACTTCATTGAAATCCCCAATACATAGCCATGGAAGATCGCAATCAGCCTTTAGAAATCTCATCATATCCCATGTTTTATATCGCATGCTAGTATTAGCTTCTCCATACCAACATGTTAACCGCCATGGCTCTTTCCCTTCCTCTTTCACCTCCATGTCGATGTGGTATTTGGAAAAATTTCGAAGTTCCAAGCCCATCTCCTTTTTCCAGTAAACACAAAGGCCCCCACTACGCCCTGAACTACCGACTCCATAAGCTCCGTCAAAACCCAAAGTACTTGCCAAACCTTCCATGCGAGCCTTAGCGATTTGTGTCTCCACCACGCATAAGATCGCCGGCGCACTCTCCCGCGCAAGGTCGCGCAGCTCATGAACTGTCGCGGGGTCGCCCAACCCATGACAGTTCCAGCATAAAATAGCCATTAGGCGCGGCGGTCCTCCCCTGAGGAGTCCGCCGTTGATGCCATCTTGTCATTTGTTGCCTTCGCTTCCTTGTTCCCCGATGCAACTATTTTCCTTGACTTCTTCCGTTCCTTGGTTGTTCTCCATACAGCCATGGCCGATAAAACTGTCACCTCCTCGACTGGCAGAATCAATCTACCTCTGCCGCCAAGCCCCCACCAACCCCAAAGCTGGGAAGACAGGCTAGCTGTCCCCATCAGCCCGAAGGACAAGCGGAGAGATCGGAGGTGAGGGGTAGGTGCGGAGGGCAGTAGGGAAAACTCAACGCTGGTGGGATGCCGGCGGAGTAGGGAAACCCTAGTCGCCATGAGCGCTAGGTAGAGGCAGCTGTGAACGGCTGATTACATTAGGCAGCGGCTGGGTAGATGGGCTTTCTTGGCCCATGTCAATGCTCGTGCGGTGGAGTTGGCCTTACCCCAACCGCACATGCACTGTTGGGCCCGGAATGTGTCCATGTTCATCTAGTCGATGGCCGAGTTGACCTGCCTCTCTGCCCATGGAAAGAAATCCCTATTTTATTGGTGACGGCTCTCTCTTTGCACTGGAGTGTTATCTACCCTAGTTCATTTGCTTGGTGATTTCTTTTCCGTCTGCATTTCATCTATTGACCTGTAGTTTGCTTTTCCATAGAGAAATAGTTGACAGATATAGCACTGCCGTACTGCTGTAGTATCTCACATAGGGCTAAAAGGTGCGGATCTTTGGGAAGATCAGATGGCAATTTCTTGATCGGAGCTATCCATATAATCGACACAAATACCATAAATTAAAGCTACAGATGAGCTCCCTAATACCAAAGCAGTTTGCTAGTCTGAATGGGCTGCCTGAATGAACATCCAAATATATGCAGAAACTATTAAACTCGGCTAACAGTTTACTGATACCATAAAAGGTTTTGTATATATATATACTAGCTCTCCTCTTCTTGTGCAGCCACAGGACGAAGAAAACCAACAAAACATATCCCTCTCCTCCGTCGTCACTACATACATTGTACTAACAAGACAAATGCAAAGGCTGCGATCTTTTGGTGGACGCGGCACACGGCGTGCGGCGGGCGAGTGAGCTTCATACAAGACCCGCAAACCTGACATAGGATAGATAGATGGCAACTGACGAGCTTCCACCAACATTACTGCATTGATCAACAGCCAAGCTCATACAAAGTTGCAACGGTAATACTCCCATCAGACACTTCGCTTTACTTTCTAATAAAGGAAACCAGTCTTTGCGCAATGAAGAAACTCCTGAGCCGTTTTCAAGTCTTCAACTGATTTCCCTGCGACACCCAAACAGTCACCTGGCTTTCGTGCTCCGAGACGTCTTCAAGGACTTCATAGCTTCCCTAAATATTATTGCAAGGAGAAGTATCAGATACTATTTGGAATGGCATGGTTATGTCTGGCACCTGTAATTCTTTAGGCGCCATTGCACGACAGTATATGCTGATAATGAATATGACATGCATGCCTCTTTCTAAATATCAGCAAAATACTACTCAGTGGGAGATTACGGAGTTACTACTATAAGTCGGGGTAGGTTGGTGTATGGCAATAACCAAAGAGGCAGATGGGTTTACCGTAATGCATCCTCGATGTCAGTGTCCACTGGGTCCAATTTGAGACCATCCAAGAACCGTTCACTTGCACCCTCATAGTCCTGACGATAAAACACAAAAAGTGAACGATCATAAACAATTTGCAATACCAAGAGAAAAACAGCCAGCCATATCCTCTATGTAACCTTCAGTAGCATCAGAGCTTCACCCTGCTGGCGACAAGCTTTTGGCTAGTGAGGCCGCATTTTTCTGCATTTATTAGCATCTAGCAAAGCCTTTCTTCCATCGCCCATGTGAAGCCAACAAAAGCTCTTGTCTGAGAACAAGACTGCATCATCAGGATCAAGCTGCATTGCCTACATCACATAAGACAAATCGACAATTCAGCTAAGTTTCTTTTAACTCACATTGAATTAGTTAACTGGATTAAAAAAACAGTTAGGAAGCTGTCAACACTCAAACAAGAAATCTACACATTTTTAATTCATACTAGCCTACATAAAGCCAGCCTAACATACATTTACTAAATATATAGCACAATGTTGAAGTACAATCATTCATTCTATTCTAGTCCTAAGTAACTTTTGAACTAAATAACTTATATTAAACAGCTTGCTTTTCCATTATCCCACTCGTTCATTTACAGTCATCAGTCATCCCTGTGTTTTTTTTCTGACTAACTACTGTGAGGCAAAAGCACCCCCCCCCCCCTCGCGCGGTCTTTATTAATTGGTACAAAAAAATAAAATAGGTCCTCCCTGTGTTAGCGCAAGCAAGGAAGCAACTCCAAAACAAAAAAAATAGTTGTCTGCCAAAAAAGTGGTCAAGACACAGAAATCCTCAAACATATTGCATTACTCATCAAGGTGACACTATTTTTTCCTGTTTATACCTGAGCAGAAGTACCAAGAATATCTCATGGTCCATATCCATTATCACAGAATGAGTACTTTGCACCACGAAATTGAGAGGATACATGACCAAAGCAACGAAAAGAAAGACACAGCTTACTGTCAGCTGAACCCTATTCTGAACAAATCCTAAGTTATTACAAATAACAAAGCCAGCTGGAGCGCCCTGGACCATTTCAGTAGGAACCTTACCATGACAAGTTTTTGATAAACGACACCCAGCTCCATGTGGAGCTCCAGGTATTCTGGTATATTCTTGCCCAAAAGTATTACTTCGGACTATGCATTCAGCAACTAATGCAAAACCAGGATAAAATCCTTTTGAAATCATATATGAAGTTGTGAACCTTAAATATTTTCAGACAGAGCTATGCAAGAACTATAAATTATAATGCATGCAAGGTAAACTGAAATGCTGGAAAGCTAAACAAAGCAAGAAATATATGGTGCTTTAACATACCCGACTGTACAATTTTGCTGCAACAGCATAATCTTTCTTCTTTAAAGAGATACTCCCTAGTGATATAAGCTCTGATGCCATGATTTCCCGTTTAAGCATGGGCTCCTCCTGAACCTACAGAACATCAATTAAATCAATTCTATGCAGGATGCATGCGATACATAATATCTGAACGAACAACCTTAATTTTTGCTGTAAATATATGGAGGGAAAGGGATTTGATTACATAAGCGTATCTTTTCTCAAATTTCTATGACTGCACAAGCATAATATTTTGAGTACTCGTGATAATCTCCTAACATCCATGCTCAGTATTATAACTTGTAAGTACAAAAAGTACCGCCAAAATTGTCATAAACCGGTACCATGTTTAGGTAACTATTAATATCAACATGGCCCATATGCAGATGTCCTCCCCAGCCGCAATGCTCCACAAGTTTTTTCAGAAAAAAAATGGTTGCTAAAGGGTCCAGTACAAGCGGTCACAAATTGCAGCATGCCACAGCTGCAGCCAGTATGAACAACAAATGCCAGAAAAGGAACTAAAAAAACAAATTCAATATGGAAAATAAACATAGAAAATGGGTACCCAACAAAATTAAATTCATGGACTTGACAAAGCTCAGATGAATGTACAACACCTTAACTAGGAGCTTGATACATTCCGTTGAGTTGGCATCTCTAGCAGCCATAAGAGGTGTCACACCATTTACCATCTTGTTGTACTGGAGAAATATTAAGATATCAGCTCTAATGGTCAATACATAGAACTAAACTGATGAGGCAAGCTTTCAGCAAAGAAAATTGATTCAGTACACCCACAGTAAAATCAGTGAGAAGGTTATTTTTATCAAGATAATGCCACGATTACCACCGCATAGCAGTTATTTATGATTGTTTACATGGAATCTGCAAGCAGAATTGCATGGTATACTGCCTTTCCGCTCATATCAATCTGATGTGAATTATACAGCCACAGTATTAATGGAGCATAAGCCATTCTAGTTTACAGATCCAGACTGTTTTGTTTCAAGAAAGATTCGATCTTTTAATCATCACCGGCCAGTCATTAGGATCTCAAACCCCAACAAAAGCAATGCAGCCATCAAGAAGACAAGTTACTAAAACCTGAATATGGAGCCACAACTAGAAAACGAAGAAGATGACGCATGACGCCAGCATTGAGAACGATTTGGGAGGCAACAGCGCCCTCATACGGTCACACCCACAGCTTATATGGGAAGATGGATGAGCCGACAGGGAAAGATTATGTGAGGGATAGCCACGCAGAAGAATTTGCAGATGCAGGTAGAATTGGGTGCATGAAAAGATATTTTCAGAGGGGGCGTACCGAAGCAAGCCTCTTCAGTGAAAATTAAACAGCTCCCATGGCATTTAACAAAATACACAAGAAGTCAAGAACAGTGTGAATATGTTGTGGAACCTTGTAGCTTACTAGTACCATATTGGTCTAAACTTCATAAAATTCCAGGTAGCACTCAAAAACAAATGGCAATACATGATAGAGACTAATCTATGATGGCCAATATGTAAAAAGAAAGTAATCATTTTAAGTAGTTTTATGCATGGAAATTAGCATTGAAGGGACCAAAAATGAGAAGATGTGCAGTATTATGTGCCCGCATTCCAAAAATAGAATTATATTCGAATGCACTGTACATTTGATAGTATAGTGCTATGAATTTGAAAGGGAAGTGGATGAAGCATACTTATTACCAAGACACTATGATGAGATGTAGCATTACAACTACTACACAACAAGGGGCATGCAGAAGAGAAGAAAAATGTACTGAGGATTTCAAGAGTTCAACTATGCAGCACAAACACCATAGCAGCATCAAGCAACCATACACAATCAATTAAATAGAACATGACAAGACAGACAAGGGAAAAATTGCAAAACACAAGTAATTAAAGTTCAAAACATATAGGGTAACTTGAGGCGGAAACGGTATGTACTTAAACTTACATCTGCATTGTGGTCCAATAAAATCTTCACAGCACCATATTGCCCTTCACCAGCAGCACCATGAAGTGGTGTTCCATGAGGAGCTACCGGGTCAACATAAGCTCCTTTTGCAAGCAAAAGCTCTAGCATTTCACAATTGCCTGGCAGAAAACACGGAACTTATTACAAAGGGGAGAGGTGTTTTCTGGCAATACAACAGCAACAACAACAACAACAACAACAAAGCATTTAGTCCCAAACAAGTTGGGGTAGGCTAGAGCTGAAACCCATAAGATCTCGCAACCAACTCATGGTTCTGGCTCATGGATAGCTAGCTTCCACGCACCCCTGTCCACGGCTAGTTCTTTGGTGATATTGCAGTCCTTACAGATCTCTCTGATTTTCTGGCAATCTCTACTAAAAAAAATCCATGAGCTTATAAGGTATGATGGTAGGGTTATTTTGTGACAATTTCTTTTGTTTCTGGTGTATCCTGGACCTGTGTTTGCCTTGATCATGTGCTACAAAAAATCCCAATGAGGACTTGTTTGGATTGGAAGGAATCGAAGCCAAAAATTTCATAGTTAAGTTAACTTTTAATATGAGTATTTAGTGATGGGGCCTAATTCCCATCAAGGGGGATATTCAGTAAGATAAGACCATGATCCACAGCATGGCTACTCGATTCATGATTCATCAGGTTCGCAGTTCACTACTTCCTACTTTCCAAAGTGGAGCATGGACCTCTCCAATTCAGTAACAGGAGATGGGTTCACAAATACAACAATTCTGGTTTTATGGATCTAGTTAGTATGCAAGGTATTTTTATCTCTGTAAGAATGTAAGATGAGAAACCAAGTAAGATGGTAGGTATTTTGGTGACTATTTCTTTTGTTTTCTGGTGTATCCTGGACCTGTGTTTGCCTTGATCATGTGCTACAAAAAAGCCCAATGAGGACTTGTTTCGATTGGAAGGAATCAAAGCCAAAATTTTCATAGTTAAGTTTAACTTTTAATAGGAGTATTCAAGGATGGGGCCTAATTCCCATCAAGGGGGATATTCAATAAGATAAGACCATGATCTACAGCATGGTTACTCGCTGCCACATGCACAATACCAAAAGACCAATGCATGCAAACATGAAATCAGCAAGACTCCTTTTGTTTTGAATTTTCAAGTACTTATATCTCTCAAATCCTGTGTCTGATTGACGATCTGTGCTCATTGTTGGCTTCCCTGTGATGATGCCGTCAAAACTAGATCCCACGTAGATATGTTTCGATAACTTCTTTTCGTTACTAATTGCCAGGTTAGAGCCACTTGCTTGTCAGGTTATCGATATGTTATAGCTACTTGGTAACCAGGTTATTAAGTCAGTTACCAGATTATTGCCACTCCACACCCATGTAAGACTGGAATGATAGTGACATGTATTAGGTTATTTGACTTCCCAATTAGGTGACAGTTTAGGATATTGCACATGCACAACAGCTAAGCAACTATATCCATGTTGAAGTGTTTCAAATATTAGTAATTATGCTACACAAAGAGCGCTGGTTTGATGCAATACATGCATGCAGACAGTAAAACTTCAGCTAATGGCTAAAAATAAATACTCCCTCCGTCCAGAAATACTTGTCATCAAAATGAATAAAAGGAGATGTATCTAGATGTATTTTAGTTCTAGATACACCCCTTTTTGTCCATTTTGATGACAAGTATTTTCGGACGGAGGGAGTATATCGATGACTGAAGCGTGTGCAGGATTATTATTTAGTACAGCTAAGAGTATATCAGGAAATACCACCAAACATCTACTTGGAAACATAATATGCCGCGCATTCTCAAACAGCCTAATGAGTCTAAACCAACATGTACATCGGAACAGAGAGACATATTAGAAGAACTTAACCATCAGGTTTGAAGATAATCTATTAGCACAGAACAATATTAGTAAATTAATATATGAAACAAAAGCAAATAGCTCTGAATAAGATAACACAAAACAATTTGTAATGCAGAGATGCAGAACAGAGATATGTGTTTATAGAGGTGGACCTGATTCAGCGGCATAATGTAACAGGGAAATCCCATCATTATTGGCTTTGTCTTGATCAGCACCATGATCAAGAAGATACTCGGCAGTACCCCCATTGTGGTATGTTGCAAACAACAGAGGTGTTCTACCTATAAAACAGACAAACACACAAAAATGAAATTATATCAAAGCACTTCTCGGCGTAGCAAGATATGAGATCTTTTTTGTATGAAAGCATGTCTTATCTCCAAAAGCATGCCACCACAGAAGTTTCCTAACACTGCTCTGTCTTCTCTGAGAGCATATAGTTTATACATGGCTCTCCAAGACACACAAAGTAGACCCATCGAATTAAATAATGATATGAAGCAGGATTTTCATAATGCTCGAGAGAGTATCGGTTAAATGGAACTGACACATGAAAATTAGACATAATAGACTACCCGAATAGAAGAATGAAATGCATCCTCAGAGTTGGAGTGCATACATATGTGCAATAACTAAACAACCAAACTGTCCTAAAATAAAAACTAATTTGCCCTCAAAGAGTAGCCTATTTAATTCATGCAGCTTTATGTGAAATAAGTCGGTAGTTGGCACAACAGAATATGATAAATCATAATTTTATTTTGTGAGATAAACATTGGTGCTTATGACACATTGGTTCATACTGACGCAGATAATCTTAGCCTCTGTTTATGGTTGCTGGACTGTGTTGTGCTGAGCTTGGAGCCGCGGCAAAAGCTGGTTCGAAAAGCTGGATTATCATAATAATGCACCTCCATGTCAAACCCAGAGAAAGCACAAAACAGTCAGATATCATGAGACCTAACTTAACCTACAGATCAGGCAACCCTTGTGAACAACAAATCCAGCATGTAAAACAGCACTTCATACGATTTGACAAAACGTACACTGAATGTGTGCGCGGGGTCCTAAACCGATAGACTAGGGTTCTGAAGATAGATGGACCTTCCTTGTCGACCAGATCCACATCTATCAGCAGCTCCTCGACGAGGTACCTGCACACCCGCAGGGTCCCACTAGTGGCGGCGACGTGCAGCGCGCTGAAACCTTGGAGCTTCCCAGCCTCTTGCACCCTCAACGCCTCAATCGCCTCCTTGGGGCGGCCCCTGCCCATGTCCAGCACCGTGACCAGCGCTGCGACGGATTGGGGCCTCCAAAATGTTAGCGCTCGAGCACCGAAACGGGATGAGGGTCGGAATCTGGGAAGGGGAGGGGGCGGCGTACCCTTGAAGAGGGGGAGGTTGTCGTCGGAGGCCGCCTGGAAGACCATGTCCAGCACCGGGTCGCGGGCTGGGGCGGGAGGGGGCGGGGTTAGGATTCGGGCTGGGGTTGGGGTTAGGGTTAGGGATGGGGATGGGCTGTGGGGAGAGGCGCTTACCGTCACGGGAGCGACGCGACGCCATGGCTGGCGCCGGTGGAGGAGGATGTTGGTAGGGTTTTGGGGGGTGGGGTGGGGAGGGGAGAAGGGGCTTGGAGTTTTGAATCGAGAAGAAGAAAGAGCAGCGAGGAAGATGAAACAAGCGTGAGTGAGGACAGTGAAAATGGGAACAGTGTTGTTTCTTTCACCCACTCCCGCTTCATACAAACCGGACGAATTACGTGCAAACTGAATGGCTTGATTTTCTTACAAACCGAACGAAAATTTTTATATCCGAGAGAAATGCATATTTCAAACCTCACTTCTTGTCCTAGTTTAATTTACAACCCGAACTCTAATGCATCTACATTACAACCCATATGTCGGCTCAGTCTCTCGAATGTGCGCATAAGCGTAAGGTGTGCGTGTGTGATTTGTAAGAATGAATGCATACGCGTATGTTTGAGCGCTTGCGTCTGTATTGTATTAAAAAACGAACTATAAAAACCGGCCAGATTCAACCATCCCCTCCTCATTGACTGGTTTTGACCAGTTGCTTAAGTCAACATGTCCAGCCAGCAAGCCACGTCAGCAAAACTTTCAAAATTTTAAGAAAAAAATTGGTAGAAAAGAAGGTTCAGGAAATATAGTAAACAGGAACATAAAAATGTCTAAAGTAAAAGAATATTTATGTAAAATTACATAATTTTAAAATATGCAAACTAAAAAATAATATAAAAGGTTTAAAATGATAAAAAAATGCATTTTTTGCCAAATTTGGTCAAAAATGAATCAAAATAAATCAAGAAAATAATACTAAGCATCTGGAAAAGGTTTTTATTTTTATTATTTTACAGATTTTCAGTAAACAATCTTGACAAAAAATTCTTTCGATTTTCAGTAAACAATCCTGAACTTCTTTCAGTGTTTCCCGATCTTTCATCATTTCGAACATTTTTCAAAAAAATTCTGAAATCAAGTCCGAACAATTTTTTGGTTTTCCAGAATTTTGAACTTTTTCGTATCGATGTTACAGTTTTTTATATTTTTATTTTACGTATTTCTTTTATTTTACAGAATTTTTATATTCACTTGATTTTCCATTTTACATATTTTTAATATATTTTTTAATTTTGATTTTTTTTTTCTGACTTGGCTTGGTGAGTGGATATGCTGACTGGATGGTCAATGCGCCAAAAACGGTCAACAGGAAGGTGAGTGTTGAATCCTGGCCGATTTTAAGAGTTCGGATTCGTAATGTAGATTGTATTAGAGTTTGGGGTTGTAAAAAGATTCGGGGAACAAAATATGCACTTATCTCTTTATATTTCAAGCATATTATAATTAGACTATACCACGCTACGATAAAACTAGTCTACAGCCATGGCAGATCGCCACTATCACGACATGTTTGCCCATGTCCAGCAGCTCGCTCATCGGACTGTTGGATGCACTAGAGGGATATGCTTTGGTGAGAGGGGGAGATATGCCTTATACTCCTTCCGTTCCAAAAAAAAGCAAACAAAAGCTTAAACTTACAAGCATTTTTGATGTTTTTTCTGTAGCTAGCCGGAGCTGCAATTTGGGTTTAGTCAAAAAATAAGTAAAAAAGCGCTACGATAAAACTAGTCTACAGCCATGGCAGATCGCCACTATCATGACATGTTTGCTTATGTCCAGCAGCTCGCTCATCGGACTGTTGGATGCACTAGAGGAATATGCTTCGGTGAGAGGGGGAGATATGCCTTATACTCCCTCCGTTCCAAAAAAAAGCAAACAGAAGCTTAAATTTACAAGCATTTTTGATGGTTTTTCTGTAGCTAGCCGGAGCTGCAATTTGGGTATAGTCAAAAAATAAGTAAAAAAAGGCTCCATTGCCGGGATTTGAACCCGGGTCGCCTGGGTGAAAGCCAGGTATCCTAACCGGGCTGGACGACAATGGATTGGTGTTTTCTTTTAAGATTCTTTGTATATATACTGATATCCAAACTACATGAGATGTTTTGCTACTCGGTCCGTGGAATCTAGGAGATATATTTAGTCATGGTTACCAATTTTTTTAAAACAGTCATTTTGGGGGTATACAAATACAATGTATTATACCTATTTTTTTTGAACGTAGAAAAAAAAGTAGAAAAAAAAGGCTCCATTGCCGGGATTTGAACCCGGGTCGCCTGGGTGAAAGCCAGGTATCCTAACCGGGCTCGACGACAATGGATTGGTGACGTATTTTCAAATTCTGCAGATACCACTACACCACAGCACGTGGGCTGCCTTGCTACTTCGTGCGTTCGGAAAAATTACCATGCGTTTTGTTTAAAACATTATAGTCATTTTTGCTATCATTTTTTTTGAAATGGAGACAATTTTTTGCCTCATCCATTAATTAAGAAGAATAAGACAGTTTGAGGTTACATTATGACTTTTGCTATATGTCACTACATACTAATTTTTATAGAACACAGTGTACAGATGCAAGCGCTCATATATACGCACATACACTCATCCCTATGCAATATAGACATAGTATATCCCTGTGAGCACCCCCGAGAGACCGAGTTCGCATATTATCTTGAGATTTACAAAGTCATCACAGCCGCTTCGTAGCCGACGAGAACATCTCCTGGCTGGGGATATCACTGCCCTCCTAACCATCCAACCACAGATTGGTTAGCCATTTTACATACTAACTGAACCTACTTATTTTGTGGGGAGACCTATTGGAGCATTTCTATTTGATCTCCTAAAAGTTAGTGAAGAATCCGGCCGAGAAAAGTTAGTGGAGTATAATTTTTACTTCACTAACGAGGCCGCATCTGACTAATACCCTAAAAGTTAGTGGAGTAAAAATAAAATTGTCTAACTTTTGTCTCCTAGCCGCACGAATTTCAAACACTACACAATACATATCTTAAAAACGCATAGCCATCATAAAAAAGTTTCATCATCGTGTTTCTCTATGCAAAGTTCACCCAACAAATCACTCGAAACACAATGTTTCATCCAATATCACCACAAATATAGTATGTATATGCTGCGGATCGAGCCAATCAATGGCATGCACCACCACTCCTCGGCCACCACCACTCAAATGATGTCGTCGGCGACGAAATCAACTCCACCATCCTCTCGGCCACCATGACCATCGCCATTCTCTCGGCCACCATGACCATCGCCATTCTCTCGGCCACCACCGCCACCACCACCCCCTCAACCACCACCATCAACACCATTACCGTCACCACCACCCCCTCAACCACCACCATCAACACCATT